ATGAAGGAAAATCTTTCCTATCTTTTGTTATCTCAGTTTGACTGGTGTTTCCGCAATGGACCTGTTAAGACAGTGGAATAACTAAAACATATAATAACTTACTGGATTCGCGTGTATTTTGATGACTTGTGTTTCTGGTTGCATGATGGCTATGAGGCGGGTTTGGGGCGGGTTTATGTAAACCATCCTCATTTTCGTTTTCAAATATCTAAATCCACACATGCCTCATTCCCATACGGAGGAATATTTTTATTTCCATACCCATGATTTTTGGGAACCCGTGAGTGATACTCGTCTCGTACATCCAACGTTATTATACCTAAAATTTTACATGAATTTTTTAATTATAACACTAAATGGACCTACTATATCATGAAGTCAACGAACACACAGTCATTCTTAATACGATCAAAGAATATGATGTTAAAACATCCATTAATCCAGAAGATAGACTGATAGAGTATAATATTTTTCAAATTATTATTCTCTAACTCTAATAGATCTACTAAATGATAATTAACCAACATAAACTTGTTAACAAGGGGGGAAAATGAAAGAGCGAAGAGATAATTGAGTGAAAGGAATTAGGTTTTTATTAGGGTGGCCACTCAATTGAATTTCTACTATTTATCTTCTCGAGTTATCCTCACTATTAATTATACAAATTTGATCCACATATATTTTTTTATATATGTGAAGAAATGCTCTTGGTGGGGCGGATATGGGTATGGGTGTGGGGAGTGGAGGGGAGGCTAAAACCATACTCGCCTCATACCCATCAAAGTTTTTGCGGGTTTTACCCATATCCTCCCTTACTTAGTCAATGCAAAGATATCCCGCGTTGACTAGCGTTCGAATACCTGCGACCATGAGTTTGATTGTCATCCCTACTCGTCTCATAATAAACACCCATAAGCAAAAACAAAATAATAATAATAATAATAATAATAATTAATTAAGCATCATACATGAGATCTTAAGGAGTAATTTATAACATGTTAATTGTTAAATCCCGACTACGGGTACTCGATCATAACTGCTCTATGCATCCCTTCTAAGTTGCGACCACCTTGCGCCTGCACAGATCAACGAAGGTTTGCTCAATTCGTTAGACCTTCAATGATCAAGTCACGAGTGTTCTTTTTAGAGAGAGAAATGTAGTGTGTAGGGTTTGCTAAGAGAATCCAACCTCCATAAGTGTGGTTACATTCCCCCAATTTATAGTAGACGACTTTTTGACAGCTTCCCATACAGGCATACACATCTTACGTCATCATTGCATTAAATACTTTGTATCCTTCTACAATCAAGCGCCTCAATGGTAACCTGCAACTATGTGTATCCAGAATAAATTCGTTTGCTTGAGGGTTTTGGTGATGGATTTAGTCATGGAAATATATCAATCATGGACTTGAACCGAAATCCATCGTTTGCCTTACACTCTGTTATAGAAGGAGAGAAAAGGGAGGAAAGGGAAAGTTAGGCTGGAAAATGAGGGAACCAATAAACTTTCCTCTGTTTGGGAAGGAAGGAAAAGTGTTAGGAGGGAAAGAGTGAAAAGGAAAATTACTGTGCAACCCTACCCTTGGTTTCGGAGAGAAATGGGAGAGAAAGCCTCCCATTATCTGTCCCATCATCTGCATCCAATTTATGGGGGTTTAATATCATTTTATGTAATTGATTAAATAAGTTGGCAATTATTTATTTTTTTAAGGTAAGGGTGGAAGGATTTTTAGAAGATAATTATGGCTAAGTGTAAATAACTAAATATAATCATGAGTTGTAATTAAATCCAATTTCTTTACCGTCCCATAAAAAGAACCCAACCTCTTTTCCTATGTAAACTATCAATTTTTTTAGAAATTGTGAAAGCTTATCGAATGTTGTATCGAAAAAGTTTGCGGTAGAATATTTTATAGTGAAACCGCGGTGAAAATATATCGAACATACCTCTGAACCAAACACAACATTGATTTACATCATGAATAATGTTGTTTACGTGATGTATAAAATTATTACGCGAGACATAAAAGTGTGGTACGTTTCAAGTAAAACAACATTAGAGTATGATATTTATAGAACGGATGTTATCTTGTACAACAAATGTAATCCAACTTTTATGGGGAAAATATTAATCAAGTTAAAATGAACGAGACATGTTCCGCTAAAAATAATGAAAATGGTTATGATCAAAGTCATGGAGAAATTGGTCTTCATTATATCCACTTCTACATCATTTTTAATACAAAATATATTTTTAACATAGTTACTCTTACATTACTAATAAAATAACATATTTATCATACTTTCCAATATATTTTTTTTTCTCTTTTAAGCTAGTCTCTATTAATGGAGATAGAAATGTAAGTATTTAATTCCCTTTTTCCATTTTCGTTTTCTTGTGAAAATTTTGTTCTTATTTTAACGTGGGAATTATGGATTTAGGAAATAACTATATATTTTTAGAAAATAATATTGTGTTAGTTTTTTTTAATTTGAATGCATGAATTGCAACATAACTTCACAAAAAAATAGATTAAGCTCTTTTCACGTTTACTTGTGATTTTTAACAATAAATTCACAAAAAAAATTCAAATCAACTACTTTATTTTATTATTACATAACCAATAAAATAAAATATTTCTCGCACTTCTCAATACACACTTTCCTTCCCACTTTCTTCCATAAAACAACATTTTCCTCCCAATTCTCTTCACTTCCAAATCTCCCCTTCCCTCCCCTCCCAATTTTCTTTCACCTCCCCTCCCTTTCCTCCCTTCCTTCGGAAACATAGTGTTAGGGAATTAGGGAGATGGAATTTGTGGGGCCCACCACTTTTGGGGTTCCAAATCCGTAGACCCCACGGACTTGGAAGTTCCACATCTTGAGGTGGGATTTGGGTGATAGATTAAAATCCATGATGGTAAATTACCTTTCTACCCTTAATTATTTCTTTGATTACAAATTTGTCCTACTTTAATTCAATGGTCATGCAACTGTAAACTTTTATAATTTCGTATTTTATAAATATGAGAATTTATCATTTCATTTTGTAATATCGTATTTTATTTAAATATGAATGTATATGTGATTTGTTAGATTCACCTAGAAACACTTTATGCTCATCTTGTACATTATTATTTGATTGATTGTCGGATTCCACATCGGTGAGTTAGCAAGAAGATGATGAGTTGTAGCAATAAAGCGAGCAATTGGCTGCAATTGATACATAATATTGCGTACATTATTAGATGAATTGTTTTTTTATGAAGGATTATTAGATGAATTTTTAATTAGTGCCAATATGAATTGTTAATTAGTGTCATATTGTAATACATTTCTATATTTGTAGTTGAATTATTAATCCACATAGTGGTAAAGATTTTAAAATTTCTTTCTATGTTTTGGATTAGTTTTAAATGAAAGATTTGGATTATAATATAGAAATATAATTAAATAAGGGTAACTAGGTAATTTATATTTAATATCCACAAATCTAATCAAAGAAAGTCCATAATCAAATCCATCAAGCAAACAATAGACTTGTTCAAATCCATAATGCCACCAAATCCATCATATATCCATGGTTTTCCAAAACCCTCATTTTTCAAATCCATGAAGCAAACGACCCAGGGTACCACATACCCGTGGCCCCAAAACCCTAGCCGCCTCCTCCCCCTCCGTCTCTCCATGTCACCGCCGGCCGCCTCCATCTCTCCCTCCTCCTACCACCGTTGCAGCCCTCCCGCCGCAGCTGTCGTGGCCTTCGCCTCTCACCATCCTCTGTCGTCGTTGCCGCAGAGATAACGACCTTTCCCGTCATCTCTCCTCTCGCCGTCGCATCTCTCCTCCTCTCTCCCATCATTCTCTGCCGCCACCTGTCAAGAACCAGTTGATCCCAATAACTCGAGTTGTTGGGAGAAGGTTATACTGGATCTTATACAGGCTCATGTATGGTACTTAACCACTTCCTTACACGTCCCCTCAAACAAAAGTCGACTCATGGGCTTGAAGTTTGGCAATCGGAGCGAAGAGGCTGTTGAAAAATGAAGAGAGAGATTGAGAGAAATATAAATGTATTAATTTTAGGATTTAAATTAAAAAAATATGTATTTAATGGGTTTTTCATTTTCATTTTGTAATTAATAGAAAAAAAATAATTAATAAATTCTGTTTTTTTTTGTTTTACCCAAATTGTCTTTGGATGTGAAACTCACATACCCACAGAAGAAGTGACGCTATCCCATCCCAAAAATCGTGAGTCTCTCATAAAAATTCCAGCGATGGTGTGCTGGGTGACACACCTTGCTAACAGATGGGTCCGCCCCTGTTCAAGAGGACACATAACTTTCGTAAGTAGATGGTGGATCATACTTAACTTACAAAATCAACCCTCAAACTTAGAAAACCAAACCACATAAGTTAGGTGCACTCGGTGCACAAAAGCATCATTGCTTCCTTGTCATAATCCAACCAATATAATTATAATCGAAAAGCACATGATATGCAACTCTAGTCGTGTCTTCTAAACCATTCCCTTTTTTGTGTTGTTCATGAATTTAAACCAATTATTTACCGGTTCTGTCTATGTTCTCCTCTTCTTCAAATGTCAACTTTTCAAATTTTGAACAAAGAAAAGCAAACATACCTTAAAAAAAAAATCTCAATTTCTCATTCAAATACGGCAAGATCAGATGACAAAATAATGATAATGATAATACTTACTGAAGATATTGAATATAGTAATAGTAATTAACATAAAAGAGGAAGTTTTGTATAAAATAAACGTAAAAGAGGAAGATACACACTTCGACCAAAAAGAGAAGAAAAAGATACCCAATAAATTACAAGACACCATATAAACTTCACCAACAAAATACGTCCAATACCATATATATATAAGAACCTCTACTACCTCCATAGTTGCTTGCTTCACAGAATATCCCATTCCTCTTTCTGGTTAAGGGCAAAACTCCACGAAGAAGAAGAAAAAAAAAGCCATGGAGGCAGTACTCGTCCCGTTCGTCTTCGTTTTCATAGCCTTAATATTGCAAGCTGGGGAAGTAAAGAGCAACGCAGAAGAAGAGGCTTTGACCAGTCTCAGAAACAGTCTGGCTGACCCAAATAATGTTCTTGCCAGTTGGGATCCAACTCTCGTAACTCCATGCACTTGGTTTCACATTACTTGCAACTCAGACAATCGCGTCGTTCGACTGTAAGCATCCTCAAACTTTCACCTTTTTGTAGCAATTTTAGTGAGAAAAAAAAAATAATTCAACTCGTGTTGGTTTGGTATGCAATGTTTGGTTTTGTTCATTCGATCGGTATGAATTAAAAGAAACACAACCTTTAAAAAAAAAGTTGTTACTGAATTTTTACCCGATTTAATTGGATTGCGATTTTGAACCGATGCGAACCCTACTTTGATGTGTGACATAATTTCATATATGGATTCATTTTGCAGGGACTTAGGGTTTGAGGGTTTATCAGGGCAACTACCAACCGGCCTAGCCGCATTGGACCAACTGCAATATCTGTATAGAACGCTGTCATTGTTGATTTAATTTGTTTATATATTACTTAGGGTTGATTTAATATATAAATTCGACGGTTTGGAAAAATTGAGTTGTAGGAGTTTATACGAGAACAAGATTGAAGGGACTATCCCAGCAGATATTGGCAACCTGACGAAGCTTATGGCCCTGGATTTGAGGGCCAATTCAATTTCAGGCACAATCCCTCCATCTTTGGGGCAGAATTTACAGTCACTAACATTTTTGTAAGTCCATTCTTCTTTTTGTTATGCATTATGTAGCAAGGGTCGACTTTGACGTTTGACCCAAATTTCATAACAAAATTTCTCTATATCGTTCCAAATATAAAGGGAAATTTTTTGTGTGTTTGTTTTTGGTCTAGAGGGCTCGAGGATAATCGATTAACTGGGCAGGTTCCGCACGAGCTTGGCAACATTCCAAATCTTAAATTTTTGTGAGTATTTTTGGACCATATGTTCATGATTATAAATGGAATGGGTAGATATGATCTTTTGATTCAATTGTGTTGATCCATTTAGATAGGGGATCAGAGCCAATTGGACCAAAATATTTCTTTTATCAAATTGAGGAAGAAACTGGTTTGATTTTGATACATATTCGTATAATTATTTTAAGACGAAGATAAAATCTTAATGTATATTGTGATTTATCTATATGTTTATGTAGTTTAGTACTTACGATCTTTTTACTATTTTGCAGGAATATTTCGAACAATAACTTGTGTGGATTTCTTCCTATTGAACTTCTACGCGTTCCAACGCTCGAGTGAGTTCTTCTTAGCTTCTTAATTTGCTTTCTAATTTCTATAAACTAATTATGAGACATATTAATTTTAGAGAAGAACATAATTCCGCATGATTCAACGAATAAAGAACATAACATTTCTGGTACCAAATAAAGTGTACTAACTATTTTAGTTAAAGTTAAATTTTTTTTAAAATGATTGACTAGTACAGGTCGTCATTTTTTTGGATTAATTTCCCTTTTTTGTTGTAAATGCAGCTGGTCTAACAATCCTGGAATTGGGAAAGTTTGCCCATGAAGATGGAGAATCGAAGAAGTACTCTTAACTTTATTTTTGTTGTTGCTATTTTTAGTTAACCGGATAGTATCTCCACATTACACAGTAATAAAACATTATATGAGTATATTTTTTCCCGTTGAATCAATCCCTTTATTTGCAAAGACTTGAGATCAAAAGGAAACTCAAACCAACTGATACCATATGAGTATATTAATACTCATCTTGTGAAACATGCAAGTCTCAAAGCAGATGATTTATAAAAAAAAGTTTCAAAGCATATGTAAGTTGTGGTTCCCTACACTCATTCAATCGAGCTTATTAAGTTACATTTTTAGCTAGCACAAACTCAATAAATTCTAATTAACCCCCACATATTTGGGACAAATCAGAAACTTATATTATAGGGTAAATGACACATTTGGTCACTGAGATTACTAAATCATGTCATATTTAGTCACTAGAAAAATGTAATATCAATTTTGGTCACTCGAATTACTGACACAGGTCACATTTGGTCACTCTTCTATAGCCTCTGTCCAACTCCGGTCACTCGAATTATTGAAAAATGTCACATTTAGTCACTCGGATTACTGAAACATGTCACATTTAGTCACTCTCCCAAAAGTTTCCGTCGAACTACATTAATGGAGTTGGACAGAAACTGACGGGAGAATGACTAAATTTGACCAGTTTCAGTAATTTGAGTGACCAAAATTGATATTAATTGTTTCTAGTGACTATACATGACACAATAGAGCTCTAGTGCAATGGCTTCCGTTCTCACTAGAATAATGCACGACTCGTTGGCTGAGAGTAGGATTGTCGATTCGGTTACGTGCGGTTAACCAAACTGAAACCATTTAAAAACTGAACTACTATGTCTCTCCAAAAGTAAAATCGAACTCATTAAGATCTTATCGGTTAGCATAAAGCGAAACCCTTATATTCACAATTTAAAACACAAAGTAAAACATAGGAGATACACGTATATTAAAAAAAAATTGGGAGATAAAATTCATTTAATTTCAAACATTAAATATGACTTAGTCTAAATCAAGTGACCAAATCTGATTATGCAATTTAGTAGAACTTGAAAATAGTGTAACTTGTTTAGTTTAGATCTAGAATATTAGTTAAAGAATCCTTGAGTCTCCCATATTCAAAAATAGTTTGGATGAACTATACTTAAGTAAAAGATTCTTTTTGTTGAATATTAACAATGAAATTATGTTTTATTTAAAAAAGGTATAGTATATTTCTATACATCAACATCAATGGTCGCTTTGGCCGAGTGGTTAAGGCGTGTGCCTGCTAAGTACATGGGGTTTCCCCGCGAGAGTTCGAATCTCTCAGGCGACGATTAATTTTTTATTTATTTTCCCTCTATTTTGTGGGCCGGTATTTTGTTTGGGTCAAGGTTGTTTTTGGGCCGGATTAAAAAGTAAGTCGTGGACTCGGATCGTATCGTGGATTTGAAAGCACAACTCCTCCAGCGCCTCCGGCTGCCGCTGCCGGTGAATTTCACGGTCTCTTTTCTTGCTTCACCATTGCCCCGGCGTCCCGGCCCTATTCTTCTTCTCTCTTCCTTTCTTTCTCCAGTTCGAGTTCTTCTTCGTAATCGAAACTCCGAGAGGGTTTCTGAGCATGGTCTGAACTCGTCAGCTCTTAAGATTTCGAAAATCGTTAAGCGCAAGACCATCTAAATCGAGAATTCTGGGTCTAAGACAAATCGGAGAAAATGGCGACGCCGCCACCGCTTGGGGGAGTCAACTTCGAAGCAAATCCTCCTCCGCCGCCACAGCCACCGGGTACTGACATGACGGGGATGTGTTTCAGAGACCAGCTATGGCTCAACACATACCCTCTCGATCGTAACCTAATCTTCGATTACTTCGCTCTCTCCCCGTTTTACGACCTGCGGTGCAACAACGAGGAGCTCCGGAGGCGCGCAATTCACCCTCTCGACATCTCCCAGCTCTCGTAAATGCCTAAAAAAAAAAACACTTTTCAACTTCTAACCCCTTTTCCCTGAATTCCAATCTCCCGTTTCGAAGCTGTTGAGTTTTTTTTGTTGTTGCTGGTTTTGTGTTGCAGGACGATGAAAGGGTACGAGTACATGTTGAGCGAAGTGATGGAACCCCACATGTTTGTTATGAGGAAGCAGTTGAGGGAGAGCCCTGAGAAAGTCACTCCATTGCTCACCTATTACGTCTTGGATGGCTCCATTTACCAGGCTCCGCACGTCAGCAATGTCTTTGCTGCTCGAGTTGTAAGCCCCTTCTCAGGCCCAGTTCTTGATTCCATTCGCAATGCATTGGCTTCTGTATCGACTTGGTTTGATTCGATCTACGTAGTGATTCGTGTGTTTGATTGTCTGAGGACAAATTTATGATATAGCGTGGATTTGGATGGCTGCTAATGGTTGCAGGGGCGGGCTTTGCATTACATATCCAAAGCATTTACGATTGCAGCTTCGAAGTTGGAGAAGATTGGCTATGGTAATTGTCTTTCTTCTTATTGAAATGGTTATCTTGTTGTTCTTGTGCATTCGGAGGAGCGTGGCTTTGATTTATAATTTGAATGGAAAGAGAGAATAGTTATCAGGTGGTGATACAGATTGGTCTCGTGAATTAGTGAATGCCGAATGCAAGAACGCTTCGAACTAATAGGATCATCTGTTCAGCTCAATGTTATGTCGTTATAGGCAAGAATAACATCATGCTTGGTTGGATAGTTTATTGACTGCGACCTATGTTTCACTCTGCATATGCAATGAGATTGGTTAGTGGCTGTGATACAGTCTCTAACGCTCCGAGCCAAGCTTTGGATAGCAATTGCGACTGAATTTTTTTGCTGCTCTGCTGTATATGTGCTTCAAGTGTATGGTTGTTTAATCCTTATTGCTTCCTTGCTCTGGACAACTTAGTGTCATTTTCATTAGCGTGTTGGAGGGTTTGCTACTCTGCTTTCCTTGTTAAGTGTAGACCATGGGGCTTGTACCAACCCTTTCCTGCTTGGATCCCCATGAATGTGCTATCCCTACTTCCTGATATTTCCCCTACCTGCTACTGATAGCAACCTTTCATGTTGTGATGCAGTTGAAACTGAGGGCGAGGAGGCACCTTCTGACTCAAAGACCAGCAAAGAGAAAATCGACTTCAAGGAAGTTAAGAGAATAGATCATCTTCTTGCTTCATTACAGCGCAAGGTAAACTTACTTGGCAGGTTCATCCATCTCTCAAATCGTTAAAAACATAAATGGTCGATCACATCAAGATGAATTGTACTCATTCCTACCATACTTCCAATTTTAGGCTCAAGAGGTTTTCCTTTTTGGTACTATAAACGGGGAACGAATGTCTCCGTCATCATCTTTATTCTTTACGACAAATTTCAAGTTGGCAAATTCTGCTCTCTCATTTCTTGCAGTTACCACCTGCTCCTCCACCGCCACCATTCCCAGAAGGCTACGTGCCCCCTGCGAGTGGTGAAGCAGAGAAAGCAGCTGAAGGACAACAACAAGGAGGAGATGCTCAACCCCCTCCTTCCATTGATCCCATTATTGATCAAGGTCCGGCTAAGAGAATGAAATTCTGAAAGAAAGTACGTTCAGGGCAGATAGATTCTCTTCTATGAAAGACCAAATTGAAGAGAGGTGAAACAATCTTGTGTGCCAGAGAAAAGGCAAAGGGAAGAATTGCAGCAGTTTTTTTGCCCTTCTTTTCTTGTACCCAGCTAAGAGTTTGATTTATCTGGCAATCATGGTTATTCTTGTATTTTATTCTCCTCCAAAATAGAATGAGAATCTGTGATGAGTGATCCCTCCCATATCGGAGATCCGAAAAACTGTGTCGTGTGGCAAAGTTATTTTCAGTAACCAAACTTATGTTTTAGTTATTCGAGTCAAAGTCAGTTGTTTAGCTGTGAAGGGTCAATGACTCAATGTTAGTTGTTAGTTGAGCTACTTTGTAAGTTAGTGGGTTTGAGGGTGTTGCTTAAGTGCCGAGATTAGTGACAAGAATCATGTACTTAAAATTGCACGTGCATGAATAGGGTAAATGACACATTTGGTCACTGAGATTACTAAATCGTGTCATATTTAGTCACTAGAAAAATTTAATATCAATTTTGGTCACTCGAATTACTGAAACATGTCACATTTGGTCACTCTTCTGTAGCTTCTGTCCAACTCCGGTCACTCGAATTATTGAAAAATGTCACATTTAGTCACTCGGATTACTGAAACATGTCACATTTAGTCACTCTCCCAAAAGTTTCCGTCCAACTACATTAATGGAGTTGGACGGAAACTAACGCGAGAGTGACTAAATTTGACCCATTTCGATAATTCGAGTGACCAAAATTGATATTGATTTTTTCTAGTGACTAAACATGACACAATTTAATAATCTCAGTGACCAAATGTGTCATTTACCCTGCACGAATAAGAGCTTGGTCTAGTGATAATTACACTAGTCTTGAACCTGGAAGTATCAGATTCGAATCTCTTAAATAATACCTAACCAAAAAATAAACATATATCAACCATATAAAACAAATTGTCATTTTGCTCAACGATTTTGCTCTTTCATTGTGGTATCAAATCACTATTGCAGGCTGTAACTAAAGCCTAAACAGAGAGGTCAGATTTGAAAAGAGAGGTGTGAAATTGTTCTTGCTAACTTGGGTTGGGAAACACGAGTTATTGTAGTGAGGTTTGATTGTCCTTGGGTGAGAGAAGCTCAATATGAGAGATAGCAGTGGGTTTGCTCAGGTATGTATCCCAGTTTAATGAGGATTATAACCATTGGACCCTAGTAGTGGAGAATCTATTAACCTCAATCGTGGTTGAGTTGCAACTTTATTTGGATCGAGCCTGTTAAAGTTGCACTTTCCAACTCCATCCTTTTACTATATTTTTCCCCTTTTCAATTCTGTTTTTCATCCAACAAGTTTGAGGGTTTGTGGTTTTGTGTACTCTGATCATCAAGCCTCGAGGTTTAGGCTTATCACTGTCCTTGTTCGTTGGCCAATTTTATCGTATACTAATGTCATTTTACTTGTTTAAGTTTTACTAGTTGATTCTGATTTGAGGCTTTGCTATGTTGAGCTATTTGGTTGCTTGATTTGCCCTATTAGGGGCGAGTACTTATCCTATACATTAAAGTATTGGTGCTTTAAAGTATAACTGAAAGTTGTACCGTTACATTTAAAGTACAGATTGAAGTTGTACCATAAGGGAATTCGATCTTTATGTTATGGTACAACTTCAAATTGCATCATTTGTACCATAACATAAAAGTACAACTTTAGTTTGAACCATAAAAGAATTTTACAAAAAAGTATAGGTACAACCTGAAGTTGTACCATAACGTTAAAGGTACAATTTCAAGTTATACCACAAAGGGAATAACTAAACACCAATACTTTAAAGCATAGTAAAATTCATCATTAGGGGCAAGTTTGTTTACTCATTTTGTAGGTGGCAATTCAGCGTTGGCTTACAAGGATTGTATTTCTTCTGACTGTTATTTCAACTTGGCTAGGTCTACTTGGGATGTTGTTTGGTGCTTCATGTTGCCGCTTTGTTTATTTTGCAGGTGCCTCTTCCTACTAGAACTGCAAGGATTTGCTTCTCTACTTCAGTTTCAGCATGGTTAGTTCTATGATTTTCACCTTTATAGGGTAGAAGTCATGGATATTGCCCATGCCGTATAGATATAAAGAGTTGTCTGTTGCGTGACCATAGAGGCTCTCTTATCGATGGTTCGACTAATTGTCGACCGTCACCCCTTTCTCTTATATGTATTATTATAGTTTCCTAAAAAGACTTCCAATTTGTATCTAGTTGTTCCCCGTTGGGAATATCTTAAAAAAAAAACCATCAATTGGATGAAGGTATTAGAGTATAAGAAATTTAGGTTCCTCCAAATTGAGGTGAAAGGAACACCAACAAAGTGAGCCAATATTGTACCTTATCAATCATAAATTTGAGTGTTTCTTTCTTTATTGTAATGAGTCCATCGCATAATTACGTGCATTCTTACTTGAATACTTCGTCCGAATGTAAATAAAGATATTCTTGTTTATATATCTTCACGTCTCTGAATATCTTCTCAAAACATATTTTGAAAAAATCGCACTATCTACAGTCTTATCAAACATATTATTTCTAAAAACATCAGAAAAAAATTCGAACAAACAACAAGTGTTGAATTGAGGAACGGTTCAAACGGTAAACCCACAACATTGACTAGAAATTGACAAATGCACGACCTTGACTGCTGTTCCGAAAGTTGATCGTTAACATTACATACCACGAATATACACTGACCAGAATAGACTCCTCATCGGAAAACCATTACCGCCGATCCCCTGCATCAGAAAACCTAAGGTAGCATTCCTCTGTACAGACCCAAAAACTTCCTGCCTTAGCCACAAAAAAACTTCCCCCCAATCATCCCTATGCTTCTTTTCACTTACCCTGCGTTCCCAACTTTACATAAACCCTACCTACACCTTCATCTTGTACTCTAAAGAGATCGGTATTGAAAAACTTCGTCGGAGCATTTCCCATCCCCCTTTGCTACCAATAGTCAGTACTACATACCTATCCAAAGTAAATAGACCTTCATTTTGTTCCGACTTCACATAAAACTTCGTCTTAAAATGAGCGCAGTAGGGTATTTCTTTCACCAGCAAGTACTGCAGTTTCTCGTAATGATCACCACCTTCACTGCAATTGATGATATTCAAGAAAACGAAGACGCATTAATGGAACTGAAATCGCCGTGATATAATGTACTGTAAATAACGCAATTGATGTTAAAATATTGCATGATAACAACACAAAATATTAGGAACATAAATCAAATATAGAGCTTACCGGATGACACTGAGTACACCAGGCATTCCTGGTATAGAAAAGAAATAAAAAAGGATCGAACAGGTCAAGCAAAATGGCAAACTAATTAATTCAGCAGTGCAGCAGCTTAAGAAACTTCAGACCCGATTCACTAAACAGTTAAACAAACCTTTCAGCTTGCTTGCACTCTCGTCTTCCATGTCCAATCCGAAAACAAAGCAATTGTCGCAAAGATAGAAGGCCAACTCCAGTTTTCCCTTTGGCGCCGCTCCCTTCTCCCTTCTTACTCTAACCGACAGATTAAGAAACAAGTAGTAAACAAACAACACATGCATGCACAAGCACAACCAAACGATGTCAAATGTAACTAACTATACTGACGCGAATAAATGATACGGGAGAGATTAATGTGAAGTCTACCCGTCGAATAAAACAGGGGACAACGTCTGAAGGGAGTATTCCACGATTTCCCTCTCCGTGGTGAGCACCCTGTCACGGGGCTTTTCCTTAAAAATGAACCAGTGATGCAATTTCTTATGCTGATCACCGATAAAATCGGAGAATGAGGAAGGGAATTGAGGCAAAGGCTCGAAGTCTGCCATCTCTTCATCGGAAGAAGAGTTGTCAAGCATTTCATAAAGCCCCGCACTCTTCGCAAAAAATTCAAAGTGGCAGGCAGCAGAATGGGTCCGGGGTGATTGACAGACATCGACAACACCAGGCACTCCTGGTTCAAACGGAAGAAAAGAATTGAGTTCACAGCTTAATTATGTCTAAGTCTAAAACTAAGTGGCAGCAGCTTAACAACTTTCAGTATAGATTAATCCAGTACTAAATCGCTAGACAAAACCTTTTAGCTTTGTCGCAGTCTCCTCACTGATCTCGCATCCAAAGGCGACCTCATCTTCGTAGATTAAAATGTCTAAGCTGTACTTGTTCAGGAGGCTGATCGTACCGACAAAGTAAATCAGTAAACAAACAAGCAAGCAAACTAACTAACTATATCCATCGATGCAAAATTATAGAGATTAAGCACCTGTCAAGGATCGGGACCAACTTCATCATGGAGAAGTCCACCCTTTGCTGCTCGGTGAGTTCCTCGCCACAGGGCTGACCCATGCGAATGAGCCAGTAAGGCAGCGCTTGTTTATTTTCCAAGCCCAAGTCGGTCGTCATGTCAGAATGGCCGCCACGAAGACTTGCAGGCTCACTGTTGCAGTCAATGACATTGGCAACCTCAGGCATTCCTGGTTTAAAAGTAACGAACGGCTTGATTTCAGAGTTCAATTAATCACATAGCAAACTAATTGCTCAAACAGACTTTAGCAAAAACCTTTAAGCTTGCTTGCTGTCTCTGTGTTGATCTTGCAACCAAACGCAACCTGATCCCCGCGAACATAAAAATCTAAGAAGTAGTTCTTCTTCTTCTTAGCTCCCGGGATCCTGAAATGCTATATGTCATTGAACCCGCAAAAAGGAAAAAAAGCAAGCAAATAACTATATATTGATGCAAGAGTAGAGAAATAAGATAACAGATACACATTGGTCAAATGATCGAAACTGAAACTGAGGCAAACTATCTCGCCTAAACTCTGTTCAGTATAACTTGTTAGATGATCAGCAGAGCAAAACCTCACTATTATTGAACAATAATGTTTAGCTTAAGCAAAAACTGCAGAGATGCGGATTCACAACTGACTCCTCTAATCTCGGCCACATCTAAACCCTCCAAAACAAACTAGAACAAGCAGCTACACACGTTAAAAAGCTTACTGACTCGAACTCTACAGCCCAAAACGAGCAGCACTGACTCAAACAACAACAATTCGACCATAAACACCACCCACAATCAACGATGAATTCGCCAAATTAGAGAGATCATTAAGAGGTCTACCTGTGAAGGAGATCAACCATCTTCACAAAAGAGTCTCTGAAGAGTTGGTTCTGGGCGATTTGCTGGCAGCTAGGGTGATTATCCATAACAACGAGGTAGTAGGGGAGCTGGTGCTGATTACTGTCGCTGCAGCCAGCTCCGGCAGGCGGTGCCGTCATCTCCTCTTCTCCCTCCGTCTCGGCACCAGCTGAGTAGGAATGGAGCCACCGAGTCGCGGTGTGAGAGGTGCGGAAAGATGCTCCAGCATGGGAGAGCGAGTACGGTAGTGGAGGGCGGCGGAGGAGATGATGAGTAGCACTTGGAGGTGAAGGAGTTCGGTGAGTGATGGCGGAGGCGGCGGAGGAGTGGGTACATTTTGGAAGGATTAAGCTGGAGCTGGTGAGACGACGGCGAGAAGTGTAGATGAAACGAGCTAGGGTTTGCGACATGGCAGGGAAGAGCAATTGCAATGACGGTGAGAGTGGAGTGGGAAGGACGGAGTGAGAAGCTTCTTGCAGAGCACTCTGCAAAATTGGGGAAGAGAGTGAGGTGGCCAGGTGAGAGAGAGAGAGAGAGATGCCCCACTCTTTTGTCTTCTTCTTCCTTTTCAGTTACTCGTGGGCTGGGCTTGGGTAGCTAATATTAATTTAGCAATTAGTTCAATTAAAAGAACAAGGCCGAAGCCCAGCACACGACATATGCCTGCAAAATGGTCAACTTTGGACCATTGCTATCCTAAAGAGCAATATAAAAGTGGGAGGACCCAATTACAGAAAAACTAGGGGTGTGCAACCGGTTCGGTTACGAAATTCATGATAACCGCGGTCCATTAGTAAAATACATTTTAGGATCAAAGACTGGATCATTCTTACATTTGGTCTGGTTCGGTCCGGTCAAAATATGAGCTTGGTCCATCATTACTTTAGTAATTATAAAATTCATGAGGACAAAGGACCGAATCGCATTATACTCGGTCTGATCCGATCCGGTCTGAACAACAGTTTGGTCCGGTGTGATCAGGTACAGACCGGACCATTGCACATCCCTAACAAAAACTAACACAGAACTAGACCAAGCAAGCAAACACCAAGCCTCCATATAAACAACATGATTAATAGGGTGACAATACATTAGACTCAACCTACGAATAAAAGAGGACACACGATCGCTAGACGACACAATTTCACATTAGAAAAGAAAACTAGAAGATAAATCACTGAAACTTCTAAGTGTTTGGAATGTAAAGACACTCTCCATATCTTGACAATTCCAAACGTATTCGAAAAAGAATTATATTCATCGCGTGATTATATGGCATCGATTCGAACCACAAAAAAATGTTATAACTTTTTTTCCCTACCTTCCATAACATCATTACCCTAATCCCGGTAGGAAACTCCAGCTCCAGCATGAGAATTACCTGTTTTAGGGATTAGGTCAAAACAATACCTGCCCCCTATGTCGTTGATGGGCTGAAAGCCCATTTAGTATTCGAGGAAGATTACCAAACGCCGCCGTAGCTCGATGTTGATATCGTTGCCCGTTAAACCCCCTCCTTTTCAACTTTCAGTCTAAGACAGCCATCTTCGTCTGAAGTCTAAACCCTCCCTTCCCCTCCGCTGGGGAATATCACGAGTTCAATTTAGCAGCAGAAGCCGCAGCCAGCGCGCCACCGTCTTCCGATTCAATGGCTCCCAGCTTCTTCTTCGAACCTCCGAGCGACGAAGAGCCTGAGCTCTCTTATCACGAAGAAGACGAGGAAGACGAGGAAGAAGAAGAACCAGAGCAGCCGCCACATAAACAGCGGAAAATAAGACTGGAGCAAGAACAAGAGGAAGAGAAAGCGGAGGCAGCGGCGGCGGAGGAGGACAGTGGCGGCGACGGCGAAGAAGAAGATGGGGATGAAGACGAGGAGGAGGATGAGGATGAAGAGGAACGAGTTAAGCCTTCCAAAACCAAGAAACAGTCGCCGTGGGATTTCGCAGCCTTCTCGGAATCTGTAGCAGAGGAGCACGCTCGTCGGAGAACCACTTCCATAGACGACAAGATCTCAAGAGCTCGCCAGCAGCTCGCCGTTCCCATTAACAACGCCAGTGACGACGAAGCATCTGATGCTTCCGATGCTGAGTCCGACAGACAGGTAATTAAAGCTTCTCTTTTCTATTAAATAGTCCAATTCATTTGATTGTGAACGCTTAGGTATGTTCAACCTAACTATGCTAGTTGAAGATTGTTCAGTTTTAGGAGCTGTTTCGGTGTATTTACTAGAAATCCGTGAACAATCATTCAACCTTCGACACCGAAACTGTTGAGCTGATTGTACTATCAGGCACCCTTAGAACTTGGTTTTAGATGCCCAAGACTAGAGAGTTGGCCTTTCGCTCCTAAACTTTGGCCTTCATTTCTCTGCATAACCTTTGTGACGATAGATGGTATGCTGGAGGATAATCTTTTTTCTTCCTTCTGTAGGAAGAGTACAGGCATGATGATGATGATGATGAGGCGACTAATGTTGATGAACCAAAGTCATTTTTTGCATCCTCTGAAGGAACTTCATTTCATGCAAATTCATTCATAGAGCTCAACTTGTCAAGACCGTTGCTTCGAGCCTGTGAGGCGTTAGGTTATGTTAAGCCTACACCGATTCAGGTTTTTTGTTGTCACCTCCTGTTTCACTCTCTTATGTTGTTCCTATAAGGTTCCGGTTGGTTGATTGTTTGTAAATGTTATCCTCTAGGCGGCTTGCATACCTCTGGCACTCAGTGGGCGGGATATCTGTGGTAGTGCCATTACTGGTTCTGGGAAGGTATACTTACATTTTGGGGTCCATTTATTTGCTGAGTCAGTTACATTGGCTGAGCAGGGAAGATGCTTTACATTTGCTGATAATGTTGTTTCTGTTGTTGTGTTTTTCTCTTTTAGACAGCTGCCTTTGCATTGCCTACACTGGAAAGGTTACTTTTTCGGCCAAAACGTGTTCAAGCAATACGGGTTCTTATACTTACTCCTACCAGAGAGCTTGCTGTTCAGTAAGTGTTATTTTCAACCTGTCCAGTGAACTTGGATTTTGTCCACTCCCGTGTGTAACTTGTGCTAAGATACTGGAAAATTTTAAATTGCATTTTCTATGTTCATAGTTATGTACCAGTGTAACCAAATTCTTGATATTTAACTTTTACTTTATGTTTGCAATACTTGTGCCCTTCTGGAGCCTTTTCTACTGTAGGGATCATTGCTTTTGACTGAAAATCTCTATCGGACATATCCAATGCAGGGTTCATAGCATGATTGAGAAGCTTGCTCAGTTTACCGATATCAGATGTTGCTTAATCGTTGGTGGGCTTTCATCTAAGGTTAGTTCTCTTTTATACTCTTTTGTCATTGATTTGGTTTGTTTCTGTCTGGTGCCTCAAAATTTTGACGTTCAATCTGTGAATTCAACTAAATTCTTTTTTTCTCTTGTTTCAATCATTTCTGATATTGTTCAATTCTGACCTAAACCCATGCACATTTCTCTTGTGCCTCTTTTTCTTTGTAAATCCTGTGCACCTTTTTTTCAATTGATCCTGATGTTATCAAAATATTATTGGTTCCATTTTGATATTATAGCCATTGTCCCATGCTGGGTTAAGGTAGATGTGTTTGTGGGGAATACATCTTCTTTTACTATATGTATGCTTATTTAGTTCTGTAATAACACCTTTTCAATTTAGGTTCAACAAGCTGCCTTGAGAACAATGCCAGATATTGTTGTTGCTACCCCAGGGCGCATGATAGACCATCTGCGGAATTCGATGTCTGTAGATTTGGATGACCTTGCAGTTATGATCCTTGATGAGGCTGATCGTCTTTTGGAGCTTGGATTCAGTGCAGAAATTCAAGAACTGGTACTAGCAAGCTGTTGTTTTCTTTCTTGAAACAGTATATTTTCATAGAAAATAGGAGTCTCTGATTTTTCTTATATGTATAAATGTGAATCTCTATGGTTTTAATCACTCTCTTTCTAATCAGACAGTCTTGTAATTGCTAGTCCTCTTTAGATCTTGAAACCTTATCCTATGTACTGCTCAGGAGCATTGCATGGATTATATACAATATTAGCTGCTTAAATCTCAACAATCTAGTTGGCTTTTACTATCTCCGATTGTTATTGTTGCTACTCCTGAATCTTTTTAATTCCGTTATTTGTTATTAGGTTCGGCTGTGCCCCAAAAAGAGGCAAACTATGCTGTTCTCGGCTACCATGACCGAAGAAGTTGATGAACTTATAAAACTTTCTCTATCTAAACCATTGCGGCTCTCAGCTGACCCATCTACAAAACGACCGGCAACATTGACTGAGGAGTAAGTTTATCTGTTTTTCACATTGTTTCTTTTAAGTTTATCTGCTATTCTTCACATTCTTGTAACAACCGCAATTACTTTGCTTTAAAAATCAATCCATCTTTGACAAGCATGGAGCTTGGATAGCTTCTTCTTGGACCAAGAATTAAGAATTTCACTTATCTTACGAGTTTGATCGTTTTGGTTTTCAGGGTGATTAGGATACGTAGAATGCGTGAGGGGAATGACGAAGCAGTTCTTCTGGCATTGTGCACAAAAACTTTCACATCAAAAGTGATTGTTTTCAGGTTGTTACATTCACTTGCTAACTTTGTTCTGAGCTATATGATAATCAGTGTCAGTATAGATTCGGTGTGCATACATCTGAATACTGGTAATCTGTCATGGAACTTTGTAATTGGTTACTAACTTCTTATTATTTTTTGGCAGTGGCACTAAGCAAGCTGCACATAGGCTTAAGATTCTGTTTGGACTAGCAGGCCTTAAAGCTGCTGAGCTTCATGGAAATCTTACTCAAGCTCAGCGTTTAGATGTGAGTGGATTAGAATAAGCTAAATCAAGATTTAGTGGTATCGCTACTAGATATTAGCACTCTCACTGATTCTTTGTTTTGTTGTGCGAGTAATAATTGTTTTGGATTCTTAAACCGGACTTGTGACTGCTTATATCAGGCTTTGGAGCAATTCAGAAAGCAGGAAGTTGACTTTTTGATAGCAACTGATGTGGCTGCTCGTGTGAGTACATATTCCAACTGATATATATTTTTTTCTAGTAGTTCATTACCATTTTAAATCAATTGTTGATGCGAAATGGCTTGTATTGATACATACAATCACATTTCTACTATTTGTCGTATTAGATTAAATGGTTATTAATAATAAGATGGTTAAGTCCAGTAAAATATTTGACTCATACACTCTTTGATGGTGCTGGTTAATCCTTTTGATTACTAACTATTTCCGTTCACTTGTTTTCATTGCCATTGGTAGGGCCTTGACATTGTTGGTGTCCAGACAGTTATTAATTTTGCCTGTCCCCGTGATCTTACAAGGTAATTGTTGAGAGAGGGCTACTACTACTATTTGATAATGTCTTTCTTTATCTAGATGCTATCCATTATGCAGTTTACTGATATGGTTATTATTTTTTACGCAGTTATGTTCATAGGGTGGGCCGTACTGCCAGAGCTGGTAGGAAGGGATAT